GACCAGAACTGGGACTGCGCCTACTGACTTTACTTTCGGACAGGCACAACTCTAAACGAACAGACACATTTACCACTTGAGCAGACACTTTCCTTTGCATGAACAGGTACACTGCCTGCACGTACAAACACTCTTACCCGAACAGACATGACATACACATCTCCTGGTGAACAGGTAAGKCTTTTGACAATGCCCTTTGCCTTAGATTTAGATGTGCCTGTTGATAGAGAACTTGACCTTTGACCTGCTTTCACGCTTCTGAGCCCTGGCGAGATACCTTTTCACAATGCTTTACTTTTACAAGGCTCGTGCTGCTTTACTTTTGCAAGGCCTGAGGCCTATATCGGGTAAAGGCCCTTTTATAAGCAAGAATTTAATCCGTCTCAAAAAAAAAAAAAAAAAAAAAAAAAAAAAAAAAAAATCCGTCTCAGATTGTCAATCTTTTATTTCCAATTTTCCACCCGTCGGTGTGCATGCTACCATCTTTTATTTGCCCCCTTCTGCTCTGAACTGGCTGTGGTTTTCAAGTTTTGACTTTTTGATGTAACCTAGTTTTATCTTCCCAGGTGCCCGGGCATCCAACTTGTGCCCGGCCAGATACACACCCGGGTTCCCGGGTGGACATGAGAATCAGACAAAGGCACACCCCCTTTTAAGCCCCTTTAGCCCCTTCAATTTATACCCCCTGCAAGAACTCAGGAGTCAGGACCTCTGCAATGCCATGACAAGCATCCTGCGACGCTAAGTGAAGGCCGGCCTACCGAAAAAAAATGAGCCCCCCTCTGAGAACATGCCAGTGTAAACAGAAAAGGGGGCCCTGGTATTGTTGCTGCATGCCCAGCACCTCCATCCAACCTGTAGGCCCAACCTCCAAGTTTGTTACATATGCTGTCCTACAACTCATGGCTCCATGGCCTGACTACCTTGAGCGAGCCCATGGGTCTTCATAGGTCCCATTGTGGGGCCAGCAGTGGTACGCAGCGTTGGGTCCACAGATGTTGTTCCAGTCTCGGTGTCCCTGCTGCCTTCTGTCACACCAATCCTGCAGACAGAGATGGGGGAGAATCGGAAGAGAAGAGGCGGGGGGG